CCAAAAGATGTGTGGTACTACTATCTTCAGCTTTGTACAAAACAATCGAATATAATCTCCCATAATCTCGCGGATTGGAACAAGTACTACCAAACTATATACAGACCTATCATGTGGATTAAAAGCTTTTAAACAATAAACGTTTACCGATAGTAGAAAAGTTATATCTGAGATGGACCGTCAGAAATTAATAGCTGACAGAAAAAAAAACAATAATAGCTCTAAAGTTTGCACTTTTGAGATCTATCGAGTATCGACTCGACGTGTTAACAACTTGAACAAAAGTTATTATCACCAAAGAAGCTTCAGGGTCGAGGTAGATAAAGACAATCAGCATAGCATGGCCTGCAGGCTCCTTGCCACGTGTACATCTTGTTGGCCATAGATTGAAATATAAAGGAGATAAGGAACAATATGATTGTATGCGCACAAAGGTTAGCTCAGTACGTGTCGGTAATCGTAAACAGCTAACTAACGCAAAAAAAGCATCTAGGAACAGCTCGATCGAATATACTGTCAACGTATTCGATTACAGCAAATGCACTAATCCCTGCAGGAATAGCCTCTCCTAATCTCATAATAGTATAATACTAATACCTAATCAGATCAAGGGAAAAAATAACTTGTTCAAGGGAACACAAAGTCTAAGCTTAATTTATCTCGTCGATCGGTACTATTCCAACAACTTTTGTCGAGTATTAATGTACTACTTGTTGTAAAACAAAAACAAATTGGGCGTTGATTTTTAGTTAATCCAAATGAATATAGAGATGCGCAATTAACTACTCCCTCCATTCCAAATTGATCTACATATTCCATAAGTACACTAAAACCAAGAAAAGTTAATAATTTTCTCATGTTATATTTACTCTAGCAACAAACTCAATGCATGCACCATCCCCAATATTTCCTAGCCAATAGCAAATCAAGATATTGCATGTGGGTTATAAATACTTGTGTGCATGGATGCATGCATCAATGTCCATTTACTCCAATACACAAATAACGAATAGACTCTAATAAATGAACACAAATATGTAGATCATTTAGGAATAACCTTAAAAAAAACTATATGTAGATCAATTTAGAATGGAGGGAGTGCTACCATAGTCGTCATCTAGAAATGGATATACTGCATTGATTTCTTTTAATTAGTTGATCCAAATGAATAGAGATGCAATTAACTGCCGCATTCTTCATCTAGAAATGGATATATTGCACAAGAGAAGATTAAGTAAATTAAGGCACAGCAAACTCATCAACGACCAATTATACTGCAGTTGCAGAGATAAGAGCACGCGTTGACTAATGTGTGGTATATATCGAACCACAACATGCCAAAGATGGTAAAATCCACATTACATTCAGCTACAACTATATCAAACATGTGTTAGAAGTCTAATTAAATTTATCCTCGGTCGTGGGTAATTAATGCTACTCAGATGTCCCGCTCAAAAAATATGATTGGTAGACCTACTATATATATATACGGATGCTAAGCCATAGAAATATGAATAAATCAACAAAAATAACAATTTTTTTGGTACATTTCTGTATTATTCGTTAGTTAAAATCAATACCGGAAAAAACCAACAAATTTTGAGTTATACGTGTATATATTATTTTTTTAGTTTACATGATAAGATGTTATTAAAATCAATTCTAAAATTAAGTTTCAAGATTTAAATTTTACCTGAGGCTGATAAGCGAACAAATTATGCTGACAAAATTTTCAAATTGTGAGTATATACCTAGTTATAATAATTTGATTCATACCTATACTTATCAACAAAACAACTCAAATTTAACTTTATTTCACAATCCATGATTACATACCTAACTAATTATATGTATGGATGCTATATACCTAGAATCAAAATCTAACAAAAACAAGTTCAAATTCAGTTCAAACTTGCTTTAAACTAGTTAGTAAAGTAGTTAATGTTAATACCTAAGTAATTGAAAAAGCTTCATACTCATTTGAATTGGGTATATACTCAATTTCAACAATGGTGCCCGGGCATCATGGAGCACCAAACAAATTTAATATATATATATATATATATATATATATATATATATATATATATATATATATATATATATATATATATATATATATATATATGGAGTATGCAATTTCAGATTTTCTCACTGAGATGTCCAGAACATGGCATGCCGGCGAGAGCGGATCGAAATGAAGTTGGTGGCGCAGCAAATCAAAGCAAATTAGCTCCCTTTTAAACGCTGAAAAGTTTGGCTCTTTCTCCCGGTGTCGGCTTCATCCTCTCTCATACCTGTGTCGTCCTCCACAGAGTCAGAGACGGCGATTTATGATGCAAGTGGCGACAATGTTGGGCATTTGGTTATGTTTTGTTTCTATCTAGGTACTGTTAGTAACTGTACTCCAAAAGATCTTGCAATGTTGACAATACTTACTAGTATAAACCAAGGAAAAATGGAATAGAAGAAAATAGATAGAGTAAAGATACTATTATAGGACCACATATATTCATTTTCGCTAGATATGAGAGGAGGGGCTCTTATATCAAAATTTATTAAGAGGGAGATGAATCTCGAACCGGATTAGCGAGTCTATTATCTTATGGTGCTAGCCGCGGAAGACCCTGAGCATTTCTCGACCATAGATATTCCTAATCCCTAAATACAACGACTTTTAATATATCGCTTCCAAATAATTTTTTAGCCGACAACCTCCAAGAAATTTGGAGGTATATTGATCACATATACTCAACATCTTGCATGTTTAGGAGGTTAATAAAATCAATTTAGCTACACAGAAATAGCCATGCTCTAAGATTAACTTGCAGTAAGGGCCTAACCATCATCGGTCCCTGTCATTTACTTATGTTTGTTATAAGCCGTAATGGTTTATTAGTGACAATAATAAATAATTTTTTAGGTAAAATATTTACATGCATATATGTCTTTAGAGATTTAAGACAATGCTTAAAAGGACTACGTTGAAAAAGAAAATTCAAAATTAATTTTAAAATGCAAATTTTAATTAGCAACTGCTTAATCATAAACCATAAGACCGCCTTTACGCACGCAGGGACGATAGCGGCGGTGCGGAACGACGAGATCTGACCTGACCTCGTCGTCCTGCCGACGCCTGGCCGGTTTCGATCGATCGATCTGCAGAGATTCACCAAACATTCTTGGTGTTGTGTGGACTCGCTGCACAAAGTAGGTATACTAAAAAGTACTTGTAAAAAATTTTCCCCTTCAGAAGCCACCCGAACCTTCCGGCCCTACGCAGTTTTGTAGTTAGCTTGCTGATCAATCAGCTCAATTCTAGCTATAGAGCCCCTTTAATTGATTGTTGTTGTTGGCTGGGCTATCCTCTCGTTTTATAACCACGATTTCTAAACTATATACAAACAGTGATTCAATTTCATATAAAATGGTTCGGTATAAAAATATATATTTTTAATAAACACGAAACAAATATAATACGTTTAAACTCATAATAGTTGATAATTGATTTGTTACTCCCTCCGTATCAAAATATAAGTATTTTTAGAATAGTGACAAATCAAACATTTTAACTTTAATAGTAAAAAAATAAAAAAAGGTCAACCATATAAAATTGATATTATTAGATTTATCAATAAACAAACTATCATAATATTAACTCTTTTTATTTTTTAGATAATGGAAATGTATTACATCTCTGGCTTCTGTCACAAGACACACAGCCATAAGTTTAATAGTAATAAAAAGGTAAGATAAAATTAAATCAAAATGAGACACACAGCCATAATATTAACTCTTTTTATTGAAAACATCTTACTTTGTTTATAGATATTGTTGTTTAAAATAGTATCTCGGAGATCGTGTTAAAGTCCAAATATATTTATATTTTGAAATGGAGGGAGTATGTGCTACTGTGTTGTCTTATTTTGCGGTGCCGTGATCAGCTCTCACCAGCCACGGCACGATCCAACGGGGCCTAAGCTTAGCCACTCATCAAGATCATCAGATAGACGTACGTAGTGATCAAGTGATCATTACGCTGACTAACTAGCTAAGCCATAGCTTTGCAGTGCTCTCATCCACAACATGTGAAGACATATAACCAAGACATGTGTCACGGCACACAATGCCACCACGTACGTATGCTCGATCCATCCATCGTCGACCGCCGTCTCACGTAGCTGAGTAGTGAAGCACAGGTAAACCTCCTCATCCGATGGATCCTTTTGTTGCGTTGTTGTCAACATTGCCATCGATCGATCGAGATAGATAGATGGATGTATACTAAAACGCTTTAGCCTGAAGCGTACATACTACAGAGCCAATGTGAAAAACAATTTTTTCAGACGGGTCAAAAGTGATTTTCGTGTGCGGACCGATCTCTAGTCCGTCTGTCCGAGAAGGTCTACGAAAATCCAACCTTTCCATGCGGTGGCGCACACCGCCAACTTTGGTCCACAACTTTCACAGCGACAAAGCGATCGAGACAAAATTAACCTCGCCGTGCAGTGCACCACCGGTGCGTGCTAGCCCTCATCAGATGAGGCCGTAATCGATCTGATCCACCACTGCCAAAAGAGGTTAGAATTAACTGACCTGATCAGATGAGCTTATCATTTCCCGCACGGTTCAGATCTGCTGCTAGCTAGCATGTTACGTAAATACGTACAAAAACGACCTTATCATCTCGTTTCGCATGTTTCCGCACCGTAGTACTGCACTTGGGTTATAACTTCTCGACCTTCAACACTTAAAGGTAGATAATTACTGACAATAGTAGGGTGTGTCACTAGTTGGCTACTTGGCTGTGCAATTTTTCCCCCTCTTTAATTTAAAAGCGTCAATGAGACTACGAGAGTTAGTTGATCGATGACCTATGAATGTGAAACCAATTCAATTATTATTCCTCCTCATGATTTAATTACAAACAGATCCAGACTATGCCGTCGTGGACTTCCTCCACCGTCGCTGATCGATATATGCAGCTTCAATTCAATTCATTTTAATTTTTCTAGTGATCTTACATGGAAAAATGGCTAGCAAATAACTCTCACCTACTCCCTGGCTGCGAGCTGCTTATTTATACCGAGCGATCACTTGCTCATGAGGGGCACGAGGCAGTGTGTGCAGCAGCATCAAACGCCTCACCTGCACGAGCAAACGAACAAAAAAAAACGTTGCTGGAAATAATGGAGGTGAAGGTGTTGAGCTCTAGGCTGGTCAGGCCGTCGTACCCGGCGTCGGCGGCGGCGCCGGAGGAGGAGTTCGTGCCGTCGTCGATGTTCGACAAGGTGACGTACGACATGCAGATGGCCATCATCTACGCGTTCCGGCCGCCGGGGCCCTCCGTGGCCGACATCGAGAAGGGGCTCGCCGCGGTGCTCGGCGTCTACCGCCTCTTCGCCGGACAGGTGGTCCGCGGCGGCGGCGGCGAGCTGCGGGGCGTCGTGCTGAATGACCATGGGGCCAGGCTGGTCGAGGCCTGCGTGGATGGTAGCCTCGCCGACATCGCACCGGCGAAGCCGTCGCCGGTGGTGCTGCGGCTGCATCCCAGCCTCGAGGGGGAGATCGAGGAGGTCGTGCAGGTGCAGCTCACGCGGTTCGCGTGCGGCTCGCTGGCCGTCGGGTTCACGGCGAACCACGCCGTCGCGGATGGGCACGCCACCAGCGACTTCCTCGTCGCGTGGGGCCGCGCCGCGCGTGGGCTCGCCGTGGCCGCCACGGCGGCGGCGCCGCCGCACCACCACCCGGGGATGTTCCGGCCACGCGACCCGCCGCTCGTCGAGTTCGAGCACCGCGGCGTGGAATACTACCGCCCGCCGCCGCCGGCGGCCGGTGTCGACGGCGATGTCGGCGGCGACCACAAGCAGCAGCACGGGCACGGCGGCGAGGAGGCGAGCCACGGGATCGTGATCCACAAGGCGCACTTCACCAAGGACTTCATCGCGAGGCTCCGCGCGGCGGCGTCGGAGGGGCGCGGCCGGCCGTTCAGCCGGTTCGAGACCATCCTCGCCCACGTGTGGCGCACCATGACGCGGGCGCGGGGGCTCGGCAACCCGCTCCAGAGCTCCACCATCCGCATCTCCGTCGACGGCCGGCAGCGGCTGTCGGCGCCGGCGGGGTACTTCGGCAACCTCGTCCTCTGGGCGTTCCCGCGCGCCACCGTGGGGGACCTCCTCGGGCGGCCGCTGAAGCACGCGGCGCAGGTGATCCACGACGCCGTCGCCCGCGCCGACGCCGCCTACTTCCGGTCGTTCGTCGACTTCGCGAGCTCCGGCGCCGTCGAGGGCGAGGGGCTCGCCCCGACCGCCGTGCTCAAGGACGTGCTGTGCCCCGACCTGGAGGTGGACAGCTGGCTCACCTTCCCGTTCTACGAGCTCGACTTCGGCGGCGGCTGCCCGACCTACTTCATGCCGTCCTACTTCCCGACGGAGGGGATGCTGTTCCTGGTGCCGTCGTACCTCGGCGACGGCAGCGTCGACGCCTTCGTCCCCGTCTTCGACCACAACCTCGAGGCATTCAAGCAGAGCTGCTACTCCATAGAGTAGCTCTACCTTAGCTCTCGCTCGAGTTTTATCCTAAATCTCTATATTGCATTTTGTGTTGCATGCGACGGTTGCGTGCATGGCGAACACCGACCGACCGACCGAACCGTATTTCCGCGTGTTTATGCACACCGATCGATCTTAGCTGATAGTTCGATTATTATTATTATTATTATAATACAGTATATTAATTATTCCGGTATGTGTAGCCGTGTGCATTTGTGCGTTGCTAGAGAGATCGACTTTTACTTTGCCGGAGTTGTAAGTTATGTAGGGTTGCTTTTTAATCCGTGAGCAGCTAGCAAAAAAAAAGAAGGTGTCTTTATGTACTTTGTGTGCTGTACATGCATGTTCGATGTCTCCTAATGGTCTTTCTGTTGCAGGATGTATACATAAACCTTTATCTAATTGTCTATATGTCAAGCTTTGAAATGTTGCTACCTTTTTGTACGTTTGGTAGAGATCGATGGTATAGGTCAGATCCTAGACGATTCTTTGTGTTGCAGATGTCCAACACGATTGACTTTTAACTTTAGCTTGAGAGCATTCTCCTCTTGTTGTTTCTTGTGGTTTTTTCTTCCATGAGATGGGGCCGATCATTTGAATTCTGTGCTAGATACAGTTTGGTTTGTTAGAAAGTGGTCGAAAAATATTTGTAGGTAGGGTGTGTTCTTTGTTTTTTATCCTAGATGGTCCTTTTTGGATCCTTCTTGCAGTGGAATCTGGATCATGTGCGTAGGTATAGAGGTTTTCTATGATGAATCATATGGATGCCCACTTACATAGATAAAGAATAAAAATATGGTATTCAAAACGGAAACGGAGGTAGTATTGTATTATTTTCTTCAAAATGCTTTTCGATTTGATGACATGGCGCGTTTTGGTTCTATGTCGATCGGTTTCCCTAAAGCCTGGATCAAACCCAACTATGATCCGTACTAGTGACATATTTGTAAGAATGTTTAGTATGTACTATGTAGTATCCTATTGTGTAAGGACAAGTGACTGCGACGCGGGGAGAGGGGATTACGCGGGTACGGTCTTGGGTAGACAGAATAAGGAAAGATAGCGAAAATTGTACTCTTTGTTTTGTGTTATAAGATATACATTTTATTACTTTTTTCTAAGTCAATTTTTTTAAAGTTTAATCAAGTTTATAGAAAAACACATCTAAATATTAAAATAATACAATATAATATCATAATATATTTAATATTAGAATGAAACTAATTTGGTGTTGTAAATGTTTCTATTTTTTATAGATTTAATCAAACTTAAAAAAGTTTAACTAAGAAAAAATTAAAACGTTTTATAATATAAAACAAAAGGTTACATGTCTATAACCCGGTTTAAGGTTTGAAAAGTAAAAGGTAGACAACTCAAGCTCTTGATGAGATTTTATGAGTAGTCAAGGTGCCTTATATAGCTACCAACCAGCACAAGAAGAATTGAGTAGATGTCATGTTGAGAATTGCTCTAGTTTATCAGGTGTAGTATTTGTCCCTACATTTGACAACTTTATGCGTGCAGGCCCATGAATACATGATAGTCCACTTTACGACAATCCAGAAACACCCTGATCAACAACTCTACTTATGTTCCTCTACTTGTTTATGTACTAGTACAATCCACACAACACACCACCAACTTTTTGTTTGTTCACAAGTCGTCCAATTTTGTCCGATTCATCACTTTCATGCATTTTACAAATAAGTTCATCAGTCAAAAAATACCCAACAATATTAATACGTACTTTGTGTAATGTAGGGATCAATACTCTACTTAATTAGCAGTTCTAGGAAACCTGTCCAAGTATGTACTAGTCTAGCTAGAAAGATATACAACGATCGATCGATGCAATACGACAATTATTAGCCGGTCTGTTTTCAAACCCCCAAAAAAAAAGACAGAGAGGAAGACAATAAGCCGGTCACTGTAGAGAGAGATGCGCATCAAGTTGCATATTGAGTATATACCAGACAAAGTGTGCATACATATGTGGTGGAGCTAGCTAGCCCTTTTTATTGGGATAGCCGGCCGATCGATCGCGATAAAATTCTAGTAACAATTCTGTAGTAAAATATTACTTCGATTTAAGATTTAACGTATCGTACAATGGATCTGTTTGGAGAAGCTTAAAATTCTGAGAAACAGCTGGCGAAAAGCTAGCTGGTGAGAATCTGGAGAAGTTCGGAAAACCAACTTCTGACTTATAACTCATGTTCTAAATTCTACAACTACAAAATCTTAGAATCTTGGTAAGAATCTGGACTGTTTCAAGTAGTTTTTAGCAGCCGGAGATACTATAAGAAATTGTTGTTATCAGAAGCCTCCCCAAACAGACCCAATGAATTAAGCACAACGTCCCAGTGATACTCTCGACAGGCTTCGTCGTTGGTACGTAGTAGGGTGATCAAACACGTGAAGTGTGAGTATGACAAGTTGATGACAAACGCAGGTCTCGGCGCTAGCTGTGCCGGTGAAAGAGCGGCCACGAGAGGACGACGACGACGTGCAGGTCGATCGATCGATCGCGGCGGCGGCTGCGACGTTGCGACGGGACGAAGGCAGAGGGGGGTACGCACGTCGGAGTCAGCCGGTCAGGCACGTCACGCACGCATACGGCGGCGAGTGTATGGTCGATCTCTCGTTTCATCTCTCTGAGAGTAGGTGAAGCAATGGAGACTGCACACAAAAGCAAACGTATGTACATTTTTTGAACTGTTTTCTTCTTCTTCTTTCCCCTAGATTTGCACTTTAGTTTGGTTTTCTCTGGCCTTTTCGATCGATTGATATGTAACTCCTGTTGGGTTGTCTATTTATTGACTGAATTTTCGGGCTCGATCGATCTCCTCGTACTTTTGGATTAAGGTGTAACTACTCTCGGATCATCTTTTCAACGAAAATTGTGACTTGTGAGGTATGATGTATGTATGACCGCAGAGTTTCGAGAGAAAAATGAACACCAGTATTGCTCTAGCAGCTCGTAAAGCTTATAAGTACCCTTAGCAAAATTTAATTTCCAAACTTAATTTTGAGTTAATGTACGTGTTTTTGCACAGCTTTTCTATTTTCAAGACTTAACTAGCTCTTAAATCACTAGTACTCCGGTAGAAATAAAAAAGTTATGGCATGACATTATTTTTTATTGCTTTACTTTTTGCACAATGTTGCCTCGTCGCATGTAGTATGTTGTGATCTTATGTCACGAACAAGATCGGGGATAGGTCGGAAAGAAGTGTTTTCTCGCCTATGAACTCAAACAGCAAACGCAACTTTTGAGGATTACTTTTGTATTAAAAAATGTCTTGTTCTGCCACAGGGATTTGACCGGCTTTTATAGCCTACGGTCTTACATGTGATGTTACATTTCTACCATCATGGGTTTTAGTGGACTTCCTATAATGCCCTTGCCATGTCAGCAACCCTAGGGGTATTACAGTACATTCTCAGGGTCATTATAGTCTTTTGGCTCCAGCTGGCAAGAGTGGTTGAGAAGTGGCCCCCACAGAATCTTCCATTCGACTTGATCTTGACTCGAATAGGTTTTTCCTTCGAGTTCTCTTAGCCAAATGTCTTCTATGCTTGAGGGTTCGCACATCCTTCATCAACTTACCGATCGCCCAGGTTCACCTGCCATGTACTTAGAATTTATCTCCAAGCAAGATGAGTTATATATAAGTGATAAGAAGCCAGTCGAGAGTATTTTCCAACTCGTGAGTGTTTTCCTACTCGAGAGTGTTTTCCTTGTTTTACACTTAGTATCTTTCCATAAACTATCTTAGGTGTTTTGACCGGATAGGAGGAAGGGCGTTGTCCCCCCGTTACAACATAGGATTAATTTCAAGGTCTTACAAATTCGTGAACTTTATTTTTTTTTACGCACAAAAGAATTACACGTCATTTGTGGAATTGACATTAAAATGTTGCATGACATATATACGTGCACTATCGATCATCCCAGCTAGTGATGATAGCCTTTTTAATTTTGCAAGGATGCAACTCGAATAACGGTTCTATTTGTGTTGTTTTCACATTATTTTAGTGGCAGTATTACAATAACGATTTAAATCAGTGGTAAATTTGCAATTGCTCTATTTATAAATGATTTATCTCAGGGCGAAATTAAATTATATCCAATAATATAGAGTCTACCTACTCCCCGTGGTGCATTTGAGTGTACCACGCGAATGTCAAATGAAGACTTGGCACGTAGTAGTTAGCATGAACCTATCGTCATAATCACTTCGATCAGTTAATTATTTGTTTGATCCGCAAGCTCTAGCATCCGACGTCTTGTGTGATTGCTCGGTCTACGCGTACGAAGAAACTGTCTTGTGTGTGAGATAAGACCAAATTAATTAGTGCAAACTGCAGTTTCTTCTCGGGTAATCAATTAACTGACTGACTTCTTGTTTTTGCATTAGTCAACTGTGTTTGGTCAGATATTAATCATATATACTCGATCGAGTGCTGCGGTCGATCGAATGGAGCTTTTCACGACGTGCAGTCTCACTAATTCATGTGTCTGCTGTTATTATTAATTAACAGGAGTTCATGTCAAATTGGCACTTTAATTTTCCAAAGAACAGATAAACTGAAGTTAGTATGAAAACGAAAAAAGAAAACTAATCTCGCTGGGCCTCCGTTTTGGACAGGTAGTGCACGTGTAGGCCTTTCTAAGCCCATGGATGTAATACTGACTGTTAGGGCCAAAGCCCAAAGGTTATCTTCCACACAAATCCACATTTGAAATTTAGAGCGGTTTCGCTGACTTAGGTGGCATTAGAATTAAAAACATATATGTGGGGCCCATTCCTCATTCACACAAATTGCACCGGCATTACGGTTTAAGGACATGAATCAAATTCGGTCACTAGTTAAGGGTGTCAAAGTGGACTTATTACTTAGCACATTGTACTGTTCGGGCCAAAGCCCAAAAAGGTTATCTTCCACACACACAAATCCACATTTGAAATTTAGAATCTTTCCATACAAGTAATACAACTGCTAAACTATATATCACCTCATCAATCTCAATGCCCTAACAAAATGTTTCCACATAACTTTACACCGTGCGTAAAGTGTGTTGACATCAAAGTACTAATTAAAACCATGCAAATACTGTATGTTCTGAAAAGAAATTATGCAGGCTACACAATTATACATCCATAGGCTAAGTTCCTAAAAGAAAGGCCGCATATATCCGGCTGAATGTAGAGGCTGGATAAAAAATACCCTTCTCTAAAAAAATATCGTGGACATGTGTTAGGATTAGGTAATCCATTATCCATGTTATTATACACTGTACTGAGTACTACTATCAAACTACTTCCAAAAGGATATACAGTATTCTCCAACAAGTCAAATGAACCTGGCCGGGATCATGGAATTACATGTCCATGTTC